TCTCTCTCTCTCTCTCTCTCTCTCTCTCTCTCTCTCTCTCTCTCTCTTGGTCTCAGTGTATCGAAGGTGTTATTGGTGGAACAGATTACAACCAGAATAAAGTGAACCAGTGGACGGCCAGTATAGTTGAGCACTCTCTGACTCACCTGGTGAAGCAAGGACGTCCGTTCAAATACATAGGTGAACACTATATACAATACCATGAGACCTCAGGACGTGATGTTGACATGTGACCCATAAACATCTGACTGAGTAAGACTGCTGTCTGATGTTTTGCAGTAAACTGTGCGATCATGCAGAAGAGTGGTGCCGGTCTCCACACAGCCAACTCCTGCTACTGGGACACAGCCACTGATGGTGAGAGATGCTTTATAATTAGAGCTCGTATCATTTTAAAATGAGTTCCATACCCGGTGCCAATGTGGTACCTGAGTTTCACTTCAGCTAAAGTGTTGAGATTTGATACCTAGCCCTTATTTTAATCTTTTACTAGAGATAAATTGTCAACACCAATTTGAGCGCATTACAGATATATTGGCATCAGCATTTATGGCCAGTAAGGAACATCATTTCTGTACAGATATACCAATGTGACTGTATGCTTGAGGTCTTTTTTCTTTTTAAAGGTAAAATGTAAGTAATCTAAGTACATTGTGGTCACAGTACTGCTGCTGCTGTGTAATTTGTCCTGCTTGTTTGTGTCTTTCAGGAAGCTGCACAGTCAGGTGGGAGAATCGCACCATGTACTGTGTGGTCAGTGTGTTTGCTGTGGTGCTGTGAGCTGCTCTCTCTCTCTCTCTCTCTCTCTCCCCCTCTGGACACCATCATGTCTGACGCTTGAAATGGCACCGTGACCAAGAAGCCATGAAGATCCTCTGATGTTTCCCTCTGTGTGTGCTACTAACTTATTTCTCCCCCACGGGGCTTGAACGACGTAACGCTAGAATAAGAGCTGTGGTTTGTGAGTTGACAGCCTGCGTTCGTTTGAGAGAAAATGTTGCTTTTGTAGGGACCAAGGACAGAATGCAGCTCTGAAGCAGTGCTTTGTTTGTAACATCTGACTGAACGCTAAAATAGTTTCTCCCCCAAATGTTGTAATCTGTGCATAATATGAATCTTGATTAGTTTTAAGCCGTGCTAGCAGCAAAGCTCTAATACCTGCAAAACTAATTTTTTAAAGCTAATTATCAAATGTTACTATCACGCTAAGATGGTGAACATGGTAAACTTTATACCTGCTAAACATCAACATTTTAGCATGCTGATGTTAGCCTTTAGCCTCAGAGAGCTGCTAGCATGGCTGTAGAGACTTAGTCTTGTCTTTGTTTCTCTTTCAGTACATTCCCAAATAAAACAGTTTGTCGGGATACGTTTGTTATTTAAGAAAATCTGACTGTTGTGTTTTAGTAGCGAACTGACTACTTGTATGAAGTGTCTCTGCATAAATGTTTTATTGATTAGTCTGTAAGCGCAGATATGAGAGTTTGTATTTCCAGGATGATAGAGTTTAATAGTCAGAATGACAAATGCACTTTCTCTGTAGATATCCTTAATTTCTTCTGTAAAACCCGAGTTCATGAAGGCTGTTTAATAAAGACGTTTATTGGAACGACTCTAGTGTCATTAAATGTGTTAATAATCCACTGTTTTTTTCATCTGAGTGAGTGTTGATCTCTTCAAACCAGAATGTGACTTGAATGTCTCAAATGAGACAAATGTTACTATTTTTCAGTTTGAGTGTTTGTCCACTAGAGGTCAGCACATGGCAATGTGTACAGTAACTGCTTCTCAGCCCCCCCCAAAAAAGACAATTTTTCACATATAAATATAAATTTATTTTTTAGTAGGATTTTAGGCCTTTTTTTATTTTGCTCTGTTTGCAAATGTTCAATGTATTCGGTAGATTTCTTTTTTTTTGGCTTATCTTATTTGTACAAAAACCGGAGCATTCATTCGTCCCTCTACAGATGCATTGCAAAAAGGAATCGGTGCAAAAACAAACACTGACATTCTCTCTCTCATAGACAATTATACATTAAGGGTTAAAAAAAGCAGAAATACTTGATGCAATTCCAAACATTTTCAGTTAGATATAATACATTTTAGTGTGCACTTTGTGTAAATATTCTAACTAATGAGACACACAGATTAAGAGCCGACAGACATAACAAGCACGAATTAGAAAAAATGCAAATACATCTAAAAGCATTTCACATCACTGCGACTGTTGCTGCTCAACAGTTAAAACAAAGCCACTTAAATCCTTTTTTGTAAACGTGCAAAAACATTACGCCTGGAGACGTCCGTGCTTTACAGTGAATGCGTTTGGTGATCGAAACAGGCTCTGTAAATATTGTGTGGAGATTCACATCTCGTCGTCAAGCACAAATACATCACAGAAGCAGCGAGTATTAACGATAAAGCTGTTATCAAGGAGTACAAAAAAGCTGATTGCTTGCAGCCATAAAACTACAGGGAGTTTCAGAAAAAACAAAACAACCCCGTACAAAAAAGCTCCGCCGTCCTGCAGAAGTTCATCTGAGGCTCCACACATGCACACCTCCATGCCAAACAGAGATACTAAATACAATCAATTCAAATGCATGGTGCCTTGTGATCAGTAATGCAGCATATACGTAGGTGGACACACTAAAAACTACTATAGAAGTAATGGTTCGGTCCATGGTTTTATTTGGAGGCCTAATAAAGGCTGGTTTGGATTTTTGGCTGATGAGACGGGTGAGCACCACTCTCTGCTTCCAACTGAACACTATGCATGTTCAGTGTACCTCTCCAGTTAAGGACACATGTGCTTGATGTAGGAGATATGGACAGTGGTGGAAAACAGAGTAGAGCTGGATATATGTCGAGGATTCAAAGTGTGAACTCAACTGGCGGAGTGATTCATGTGGCACTTAGAAGGTTAAAGAGGGTGTGATGACTATCGGCCGCTCCTCTGGATGGCACGTCAAACAGTTGTGATGCTTTGAGCGTTGCAGGGTGCGCTGTGGTTAATGTCACCGTTGGTTCCACCACTTACATTATTGCCTGTTTCGACAGCATTTTCATAGATTGTATCATTGAGCATGTCATACGACGTTTCATTGGGCATGTCGTCCATGGTGTCGCTGGCTGTGTCGTGGGCTCCGTCATTGGCCGACTCTGTGCTTGCGGCGGGTCTGGGCGACTTTCCCATCGGCCTGTTCGGTGGGGAAGCAGAATTGCACATGAGACAGAGGAGAGAGGAGCAGTTCCAGAAGCCCCGGGTCATGCTGGAGGAGAAGAGCCTCCGACACGGATGACAGAACTGGTAGAAGACCAGCATGAAGAAGATGGCGAATGCGTAGGTGACCAACAGCTGCAGCACCAGCAGCGGGGCACAGAAGAACTTGTAGAAGTCAGTTTTATTGATGTACCACAGCAGAAGCAGCGAGGCGTTCTCCACGAAACGCAACATGTAGTACACGGCCATGCGGTACCAGTTCTGGGACTTATTGATGAGGTCCGGGTCGTTGAGTTTCACCTGCACAGCTGACCAGCAGAACATGTTGATGCCCGCGTAGAGGAAGGTGAGCAGGCAAAGCACGATGGTGGTTCCCACCCTGGTCAAAGTTTTCTCTATATTCTCAGGGAACGGGGAGTGGCTCTGCCAGAACAGGATCCACGGGTAGAGGAAGAAAACCAGGAAGTTGAGCAGAACCACAGGCAGGACCCAGAGCTGCAGCACAGAGCTGAACAGAACCAGAACCACCACGCGAGTGGCGATCTCGAAGCTCCTCCATAGGAATATGCACAGATAAGCCATGGGGCGGACGTCCACTTCATAGTCATCATATTTGATCTTAATGGCCAGGATGTTGCAGCGCAGCGCTCCGTACACAATGGACAGGAGGGAGATCACCATCAGTGTGCCTGACATTGAAAAAGAGAGACAGATACTGTATATGAGGACACCATTAAGTATATTCTCTGGAGTCCAGGTTGATTTTGGTTAATTTAAAAATGATCATTTTGTCTTTGTTCAGCAGCTTTAAAACGATCAATATCATGCAAGTTTTTTGCTGAAAATATTCTTTCACCACAAACTATAAATAGATAGCTACGTCTGACTTCTCATATTGTCAAGCTAACAAAGTATAAAGCGGTCAGGAACCCATAATCCATGGAAAATGACACGTAAAATATTGTTTCTCTTATTATACACACAAATACATACATATTTCTATATTACAGTGTGTGGTGTCCATGTTATGGTCTACAGACATAATGAAAGCCCTACATCAGCACTTTCAACTGGTTTTCTCAGCTTGTCTCTACAAGATGTATAAATAATATTCAAGCAGCTTTTGCTTGCTGTAATCTTTCCTCCTGTTGTTGCTTCCAGGGTGAGTGATAGGGGACGAAATCTAAAATAAATACATTCCAAAGATTACCTGAAGTTAATATAAGGGCTCCGTCTTGGGTTATGAAATCTATCCGTCTTTTTAGTACAAAATCACCTCTTTAAGTTTCTCTGTGAAGGGCATAGGAACAACAATAAAAGATGGGATTTGGTACTAAAAAGACTTTAGATAAACTTTGGACTTTTTGTCCAGAGCAAGACAGTGGATTTTGTCCCCCATCACTTACACTGAAAAGACATGAAGGGATCTTTTAATTGCCAGTATGAAGAGGATGGATGATTACAGCGAGGAAAAACTGTTTCAATGTACATTTGGGAATTTGTGAACCACTCCTTTAGAAGACCCTGAAGCTCCCATTCACCAAAGTCAGGCTGTTAAATCGGTAAGCGTGAAATAGAAGTGTCAGATGGTCGGGAGCAGAGGAAATAAGATTTATGTATTAATAACATCTTTTATTTTGTCCTAACTCGAAGACCAGATGTCCTAGTTTGACTTTGTGTGAACCTTTAATAAATCTCTCTCAGGAATAGAAATACTGACTCCCACAAGGAGTTGGACAGCCAGATCTGCACCATACTGGCAGAGAGAATCACTATTTCCCCTCCTCTGTATCAGAGAGGAGGTTACATAACACCACTTTGACTCATGAAAACACCATCCTCTTATATTCAATATGGCACTTCGCTGATCGGCCCACATCACGGTGGAGCTGTTGACTGGCGAGGGGGGATTAAGGGGACACGTGACCACATAAATCAAAGAGTGGAACACACTTAAAGTGCATGTACCCCCTCCTCCTCCTCCTCCTCACCTCGTCCGATGGAGACCCCCTGCTGCAGGACGCAGATGTAGAGCTGCAGGGTGAGCTGGGGGGCAGATCCCAGGAAGGCCTGAATGACAGAGGTGCGGGCGAAGGCTGCTCGGTGTGTGAACAGCTTCCCCTCCGCCTGCCCCACCTGCCGCTCCACCTCCTCAGACTGACCCCCGCGAGGCATCTGCTTCTTCCTGGTGATGCTGACATACGGCTCCTCCACACGGCCCACACTGCCATAGATACAGAACGCCTCCAGACACCTGATCAACGAGAGCAGAAGACCATGAAGAGCATAGCAGCATAAAAATAGCAGGCACTAGTTAAATCTAATTTAAATTTACACATTTATAGAGGGAAAAGTTGATAAATAGATGTTAAAAATCGAAAAGATATTGAAATAAAAACAAAAACATAATATGACGCAAATTCACATTAACACAGCAAATCAAAACATACAAAACCAGACAAAGTGAAAGAAACAATACTCTAGTCTCAGTAGTGCTTTGAGCTGAATGCTAACATGTTCCCTCCACAATGCTAATTTGCTGATGTTAACAGGTATAATGTTACCTTAGTGTAGCGTGTTGGCATGCTAACATTAGCTACACTTAGCACTAAACACAAGGTAGAGCTGACCACCAAAATAACTCTAATTCATCCAGAGGGACATAATACAATAACACACATCCAATAGCTCAGATTCACACTTATTCAATATGTTTCCTGACATTTCAGCACAGTGTGATGAATGCAATTTCAGATTGGATTCTGATCCCCTGCTGATCATTTTTCAGCATACCAGAGCTACTGAGCTCACTGAGTGTCCACATTAACATTTGAAAAGAAAACATCTGAAATAGCTTCAGTGCAGCTTCAACCAAATGATTTGTCATGAATCCTCCAGCTTGAAAGAATCAGGTTGGTTCTGATGAAAATGTGGTTTCCTTTAATGGCTTCTGTGGAGGATGCCTTACCAATTCTAAAGAGGGCAGCTTTTTAAGGAAAGGAGTATTGGTGGTTTACTGGGCAGGGTTGTGCTTTTTATTGCTTATTTATTTCCAGCCTTTCTTTGGCTATTCTTAATCAATCATGTGTTCTCGTGAGTCTTCTTATCCTTGTTAGGGTTATCCTTATTCTATTGAACTGGTTTTACTTTTGAAAAATTGAAACTATCTAGGGCTGCAACTATAAGGCAAATTTTAATGATTGACAAATCTATTCTGTTTTTTAAAAATGAATTCATGAATGAATGAATCTATTAAATTTCCCAGAGCACATCTTCAAAATTGTTTGTTTTGTCAGAACTCCAAAAATACACATCTGCAGAGCTGCAACCTGAGACAAAATTACATTTTTACTAAATAAATGATTTAAACTTATAATTGGCTAGCAAAACTGTTGCAAATAGTTTTTCTCTCAATCTACTAATCATTTCAACTCTCAGCGCCTTTCAACTGTGATACATTTCAACACTAACAAGGCTACAATACAAGGTCCATATAAACCCCTTTGTTTCAACACTCGCTCAGTCAGGCCAGATGTGATTTTTTTAACATGTAATAATCATCATCAATATATTTTGGTGTTACACAAGCATAGAGCTCTCTGTTATTGTGGATGTCTAAAGAGACGTCGGTCGCAGTAAGTCATCTGCCAGTCGATGCGTGTGGGTCGAGGAGCGGTCGAGGCAGCGCTGGTGCACAGCGCCGCTCTAACTGCAAGGCAGGAGGATTTAAGCCACAGTGGTGCTGAGGGACAGACTGTTTGTCAGCTGGAGTGGCACGCACAGTAAACACATCCCTGACTTGATTAAAATACAGATAAATAAATAAAAGTGTGACGGTTGCGTCCGTCAGCAGCTTTTCAGATTTTAAAACAAATGACCTAGTTCATCATGTTGTAAAGTGTTTGTGTGGCTTTAGGTAAAAGAAGTAAGTGCAGACAACAGACAGATTTTGACAAAATAAACTTAATTTATAGCAGCTATAATCCATTAGTGGTGCAACGGATCATAAAACTCACGGTTCGGATCACAAAAGAAAAAAAACATTTTTTTTGCCACCGATACTAACTGCTGATCATTGATGATCCATGTTGGCAGATATAGATCCCTTTGTTGTTTGATTATAGCAGCTGGTCTACAAGGCTCCAGACTATTCTTTTTTCAACCGCTCTGATGTTATCCTTTGACTTTGTTATAGTAATTTATAGTGAGTTTGTTTTTTTTCATAAAAATGATTAAAATGAGTAGGAAATAAAAGATTGTATTTTTGTGGATTAAAACAAATCTTGTCATTAGTAGTTTTAATGATGTATTATAAGCTGCTTAGAGGTAGCGTAAACAGGTCATAATACATCTCTAATGTCTATTTATGTTGCTGTGAAAACTTCTCCTTCAAACAACTGGATTTACTCAAGTTTCTCACCAACACTACAGTTTCGAGATTACATGTGAACACATCATGATAACATTATAATTTACCTTCGCCCAATACTCCCTGAACAGAGCCTGAACGCATCATAATGTAACTGTTGTTGTTGTTGTTGTTACACATATTGTTTATAAAGTAACATTATCAGAAATCGGTGACAGCACAAATGGCAATGTCCTGATTGCATATTTTACTGAATATTGCCAGTAAAACTTTATTTCACACTGCGATGGTGTATTTAATCAGAGGTATACGTGCGTGCCTAACCGCAAGGGGGGTCCGTACGTATCACGGATCAACAGTGGTCTGTTCCACTTCCATAATCATATGTTTGTGTTAGAACATTGGATCAGATTACTACTTTCATGTGAAAGCTGTCGCTCATGGGACATCTGCCGTCTTTCAGCACTTTGTTTGGTTTACGACCCGCAACATTTAAGTTTTCTTGGTTCTCTCTCACAACAACTATGTTGTTTTCAACAGCAGCAGGCAGCTGTTTTCAGCTAAAAAGCTCTAAAAACCCCACTGTGTACTTCCTGCTCTACGTTTAGAGTTGTAAAAGTAGAAATGATCACACAATCCCAATATACACTTATGAGTAATTAATAAGATTTTTAAGATAAGAAGCTGGAATGAAGGAAATATAACCATCAGCTGAGTGTTTTCAACCCTGACAGCAGTGTCACTGCTGGTATGATACAAAAATAATTAGCTCACTGGTTAAGATATGAGAAGTGTTGTTTATTGAGGAAGTGCAGCGAGTAGAGACAGACATTTCCCTCCCTGGTTGTGTTGTCAGAGATAAGGAGCCGGCAGCCGCTGTGTGCTATTCTTAGATAAGCTCTTCACTGAGGAAAGATGTAAAAGTCTGAACAGTAATCATCCGAACACACTCGAGAGGAAAGAGGCAGGGCAAGGTCACATCCACAGGGGCCACGGCAGGGGAGTCAACATGTTGGAGAGGCGTCTGTTCAACTGGTCGAACAAAGACGAACATAAAATATGGATGTTTCTGGGTCGTCATAAATATAACCTTCTCTTCTCTGTCAGTGGCTACGTTTATGTCCTCAAGCTGAAGGCTTACAAACCAGAAGTGCAACCAACTGTTGTTTTCTCAATTAATCAATTGCTTTTTTGTCCAAGCAACAATCAAAATACTCAATTGATATTGATCTAAAGAAGATAATAGCAGCACACTTTACATGTGAAGAGCTGAAAGTAGTAATGAGTAACTGCCTTAAATAATCAATGAGCAAAGAAATGTTTGTTTTCTGTTGATTGATGAATCGATTCATTTAACTGTATTAGAATCTACAATTTGAATCTATAAAATGTCCCAAAATAGTAGAAACAATTTGCTAAAGCTCAATTTGATACATTAAAACAGATGGTTTTGTCCACAAAACAATGCAGCAAACATTAACATTTGAGAATCTTGAAGTAAGGGATTTTAAGATGTTTTGTGTAAAAAGCAACTAAACATCTAAATTAGAAAGATGCATTGATAGTGACAGCATCCAGGAGTCTACTCAGTGCATTAAAAGGTTAAAATGAGAAATGGGGTTTCTTTTTTGAGACCTTTTTATGGACCTACTGTACAAAACAGTCTGTTTTATATTTCAACAATGGCTTACAAACAGGTTTATTTTAGAAAGGAAAAAAGCTGTCTGCACACTGAATTAAGATATTTTTGGTATATATTTTTTACTTTTTATTTTACACTGTGTTTTATGTTTATGTAACAGTTAAGTTGTGGTGCCATGTGCAAACACTACTAAAAATCAATAAAACCTCAAATGGCAAAATTTGCTGCAGGATAGATTCATTTTCTGTCAATCTATACTGATAATGTGTTTCCATTGCAGCAAACTATTTTTTTTTATCAGTCCAAGATGAAGCTTTTACATCTATTTTTGTCTAACAGCCCTAAACTCAAAGGTTCAGTTTACTTTAATAGAAAACAAAGAAAAGCAGCAAATCCTCACATTTAAGAAGCTAAAATAATCAAATGTTTATTCGATTACCAAAATAGACATGCTGATGGATTAATTGACTGATCGTTTGAGCTCTAATTTCTCTATTAGGAGATGAATGGGGTTTCACAGTCGTTTCTCCTGCTGTTTGCATATTTGATAACATTGTCGAGCGGCATGTCTGACAGCAGGGAGGTTTCTCTACATGAAGGATTAGGCTCATTTACAGCTGATGCAGATGCTCCCTCCGGGTCAGGGCTTACACTGAGCAGGCCCGTTATATGTGTTTAAAGGTTCCTCCATCATTGTGTAACATGTATGTCAGCTTCTTCTTCTCCTTCTTCATGTGATTTAATGTCCCGTCAGACAGAGCGGTCATGAATAAATCAGAGCGAGCTGAACGTGATCAACTAGTAAAACAGGAGCTCTTAGTGAAAGGAGCCTGCTGTGTGGGTATGGAACATATCGATAAGCATATTGATCAGCTGTTCATATGCGAACTCAATAGCACATACATTTACTGCAGCCAGCTGGAGACAAAGGGCCGGAGAAAATGAAAACAACAGAATGTGCGCAATGCATTCATCAAACCACCCATAAGCAGCTTAAGTGCAAACCTCCCCGTGGACGCGACACATATAGGCGTTCATCGCGTGACATGGTGATTAGGGAGCACCACTGGAATCCAGGGCTTCTTCATGGGGCCAACCATCGGTGGGAGATTAACGAGCACTGACCTGACTATGGGTCCGAGCTGCAGGATGTGCAGCAGCAGGACGAGCGGTCTGTCCCTGCTCAGGTCCCGGTGGATGAAGGTGAGAGTCAGCTGCACGAGCACGGACGGTACGAGCGTGAAGAGGAGCGTGAGCCCCTGCCAGATTTGGTCTCCAGCAGAGCGGTACGTTGAGCTGAGGTAGAGCGCCGCCGTGGTCTCGGCCGTGAACAGAGACACCGACACAAAGATGGAACTGGGGAGTCGCATCCTCACTCACTCCGCCATTTGGGGAACGCGTCTTCGCCCGCCGGAAGGGACGGCGTTGCTTTGGGCTCCAGCTGCCGCCGCAGCTCATTTGCGATTTTTTTAGGCAGGCGAGATGTTTTCACGCCAGAGTGTTGTCCCGGTTATAGTCTATGGGGGGCGCACGAGGCGCTGCGGTCTCCGGAGTGCGCTGTGTGCTCGCGAGAAGCGCCTGTCAGTGAGAAGAGACCCCCTGCAGACAGTGGTGTCGTTAAGAGTTGTTTGAGACCATGGGCGTCATAGTAGCCTACTCATCATAGAAATTGGGCGAGAAATGAGAGCGGTCGTCCTGTATTTACAACAAATTGATTTTTTATCTTGATAGAAGATACAAAATAATAAAAAAGAGGAAGAGCAGAAATGAATATATTCACCAGACAATTGTTAATTTATACGCTTACTGATATTGGTCATATAGTATCAGTAGGCATATTTAATATTCATAATCACATGACTCTGGTGAGTTTATATGTAATAACTAATAATCTGTACATACAAATAATTTATCTCAGGAATTATTTAAGAAATTAGATTTTCTAAACATAATAATACCCTTTGAACTTTTTATTAAACATGTATCATATTTGAGTTGTTTTGATCAACTATTGATATGTATTATGTAGTGAGGTGGGGGTTTTATTTCATTTTTGATATTATACTTTGTATCATAGATTACATAGATTGTTTATTCTGTGGTGGTTTGTTACCACATTTGCTTCATATGCTGCATGTTCTTGTGCTGCTTTTATTTTTTGGTCAGCAAAACAATGTTGCACTCTAGCTGTATTATATTGTAAACTATTACTGTAGTTCTATTTTCTCTTTCCTAGATACATGAATTCTGGTAGATATACTGTATTTTATCTTTTTTTAAAAATCCAAGATAAGATGTGCTGTATGTGAGATTTCATTGATAAGATTATGTTTTCTTCTTTCTCTGCTATGTCAAAATGCAATTAGACTATACAAAAAATTGAATAAAACATATAAATCACAATGAAATAGAGTAATGTAAGTTTATTGTCAGAGATGTACTAATTTACGTTTTAAAGGTAATGCTTTTTATATAAATCACATGATTTATTGTCATTTTGTGAGACTTTGAATGCAGTTAAATATGATGATGTTCCATTGAAAAAAAAATATGTTTTTGTTCATCTGGGAACTTCATTTATAACAATAATCCTTTAAAATTTGTCGTGGACAACTCAGATTGCAAATGCAGCACACAGACAAACAGCTCATAAATAAGCATTTGGAAACTATTTTGAGTTGCTCATATTCAAATATCTGTTTACCATCTTGAGCCATGATGATGTCCAAAAATCTGACCAAAGCATTTTGAGTTTCCATGGTCAATCCTTTTTTTTTTTACTCTGAGAGATATCATCATATCCAAATGATAGAAATTAGTTTTTAAGGTCTCATCACATTTGTGTAAAGGAGTCCTCTGCTGACTTTAGTTTGTAGAACTGAGGAGCAAAAGAAAATTACATTCTCAAACTGACAATATCTTTTACAGTCTCACAAACCTGCAGTCTAACATACTCTGTTTATTTTCACACAGGGCAAAAGTCATAACAAATTACACATATTGAACAATTCAAAGAGCCCCATACAGTTCCACCACAGTTTGACTTCTCCCCCTCTGATCACAGTTTCAACCCCAGTTCTTTGTGTGCTTCTTCTTCAATCCAGCTCTTGAAGGATATCTGAGTTAGGGAGCGTTGTCTGTTCAGGTCAGTGAACAGAGTAGCGGTAAGCCGGGCTCCATTCACACAAAGACACTAAACAGAGATGACTCCGGCCTGTCCGGCTCCAGGAGACAGCTGCAGGAGACGGACCTGGAAACAAACAGTCCCCGACAGACCTTCAAACAGATTGTAGACATTCATCACTGATCCTGTTTTAAACTCCTCAGTGAAGAGGACCTAAAATATCATGGCAATCCATCCAATATTTGATGAGATATTTTAGTTTTATAATCTTATGGTGGTGCGAGAAGATCACCAAAGTCAGGTGATCACAAAAGTCATTAGGATTCGTCTACTGGGGACCATGAATGTCTGAACAAAATGTCCTGTCATCCATGTCATGGTAGTTGAGATATCTTGAAACTGCCATCCCTAGAGCCACCGAGTTAGTGTGGGGAGGGTTTCACTGACCTCATGACCTCAGTATTTCTAAAATCCAGACTACAGCCCTGTGATAAATAGTAGCCTCTAAACATGGCGCATGTATTTCGGGCTGTCTGTGTCCCTACAAGAACAACCAATTTCTCCAGAAAATGATTAAACTATCATCTCATTCTTATTCTCTCAGCTTTCTGTTCAGCATCTTCACCACCAGGTGGCGGCAGAAGTCAAGGACAGCTCGCTGCTGTCCATGGTGCTGAAGGAAAAGTCAAAATGGTAGTTAATATTAATTTTTATGAACATTAAATACCATGTTTGCTAAACAAATACACACTTAATATCTTTATGTATAATTGTTTAGTTGTAGCCCTTTAACTCGTAAGCATTTAAGTACATTCACTAAAGTACTGTAGTTGAGGATACATTTGAGGTAGTTGTACTTTACTCCAGTATTTTCCTCTTCTACTACTTTATAATTGCATAATAGCAGCACCTCGAGCTGTTACAGCAGTAAGATTCTGCTTGTACATTGATCACTACGAAAAATCCAGTGGTGTATAGTAACGAAGTAGAAATACTTCGTTACTGTACTTAAGTCGTTTTTTTGGATATCTGTACTTTACTTTACTATTTATATTTCTGTTGACTTTTACTTTTACTTCACTACATTTTGCAAAAAAAACTGATACTTTTACTCCGATACATTTCCCCTGAAACCTTCGTTACTCGCTACAAAATCAAATCTATCTTTAGAAACAAAATGAATCATGAGACCAACGTCGGGGACTGTGGTGGAACACAGACTGCAAGCAAGCAGGTTTGATGAATCAGTGCTCCTAGCTTGTAAGTTAAATCATTGGTTAATCACGTTAATGCGCAATTGCAAACAAGTGCTCTCAAAGCCGCGGTGTTTTGATTCCCAGTGATGCCCAGGATGCTATATGCTATAGCTAGCGAGCGACAACACGAGTAGAATTCCCCACAGGACGGGTGGGATGAGGAGAGGTGGATGGGTCAAACAAACACTGGTGTTTCCTCCAGGAGGCCGCAGTTTGTGCGTGTGTGAAACGAGAAGCCAATGTTGATTTATTTGTGACGTGACTTCCGTACTTAAGCAACGCCACTTCCGTAGATATTTTAACGCAAACCACGATCTTTTCCTCAACCTAACTAAGTAGTTTCATCGCCTAAACCTTAGTTGTTTCCTGTGAAGATGGAAGTTTATTTTGAAAAGACAGTATGCATGTAACAAGCGAAAACAGACTCATGTTGCTGGACTTTTGCAGGAAAAACGCACGAAAAATGAGGAGTAACTTTTCGTAAGATATCAATAAAACGGGGATGAATTTATATCATTGTATAAAGAGAGTGACATGAGAAGATCAATCTCATGTCTGTAAGTTAAATCAGCTATAATCACTGTTTTAAAGTGATTAGTGACTAAAACATTTAAAAAACATTTAAAAAAGGAATAACTTCAATAGAATCATTCTATACAATGTAGCTTCTTTACATTCTAATAGAATGTAAATAAGCTACATTCTGATACAATGTAACTTCTTTACATTCTATTAGAATGTAAAGAAGCTACATTCTGATACACTGTAGCTTCTTTACATTCTAATATAATGTAAAGAAGCTACATTGTATTAGAATTGTCTTTTGAAGATGAACAGGACATTTTTCAGTTTCAAGTAATGACTGGGTTGTTACTTTCGGTGCTGCTTTAGTATTGATCATGTTTTGATATTTGAGTCATTTTGTGGATGATCAGATGGAGTTATGATGGTAGCAGTCGCCCAATTGCAGATTCAGCTTGAGCAAAACCTTTGCCTATTGTGTTCAAATCAGGCCCATAGGAGTTTACAAGGCAGGTGTCCTTTCTCAAAACACTGACCTGATGCATCAAGTGGATATTTTTTGCTGAACATAATATTATGCATTTGCCCTCAACATCCTCTAGTCGGAATGAGCATACTTATAAACGCACTGTTACAACTCCTTCATAGTGTCATATCTTTCGGAGAATTATGATGATAAGTTCATAGTAGATGCAAAAGTATACTTATGTACAATATATTATGTTGAACATTGTTGCTCCTGGATGGATCACAGCCAACACAATTATTTTCAACACAGCTCCATGTCCTTGTTCATGGTGCCGCAGCACTTAAAAGAATAAACTTCATAATTCTCAAAATTCTGACCCTTTGCTTTTTTATTAACAGCATTTACTTGTACTTTTACTTTCAATACTTAAGTACATTTAATATCAGAAAATTACTTTTGATACTTAAGTACAATAAATATCAGATACTTTAAGACTTTTACTCAAGTAGTATTCTAATAGGTGACTTTTACTTTTACTGGAGTAATTTTCCAGTAAGGTATCTTTACTGTTACTCAAGTATGGCTTTTGGGTACTTTAAACACCACTGGAAAAATCTAATAATGCCAAAATGATAATGTATTAGGAGACATTTTCTGCAGGACAAGTACTTTTACTTTGATACTTTAAGTACATTACACACACAACCAAAACACACAAAAATCTCATAGAATAAAACATGATTCATCACTCTGTTTAAAACCACCAAACACATGAAATATTCAGATGTATCACAGGTAACAGGTATCAGCCGTGTTCACTACAGCTTGTATCACTTCCAAGATGATTAAAGTGGTTATCTGAGTCGAGTTTGTGTCACATTTTAAATTGAAATACGTTTTTATTCTATTCAAGAGATAAAAAGAGCATGAATGCCAAGGGAAGATATGAATTGTGGAAGCAAAGGTCAGCTTATGAATATAGAACTAATTTCATTTTTGACCATTTAAAAAAAACAGAAATTGAACAAAGATTTTTCTATGTGTTTCTTTTAAAATGGAAGACATGGAGGGTGACAATAATGAAGAGAGGGAGGTGGCGAGGAGGTCGTCTTGAGATGAAGGGAGAACAGAAGTGGATGCAGATGCATTCAGAGTTGTGAAAAACATAATTTGGTTCAACGTGGTCCATCTACATAATACTTGAAATAGCAGGCAGTGGAATACGTATCAGCTTTCAGAGTGTGTTCCTGTTGGTGAGTTCACATAAAAGCGTGTATCAAGTCCAAGCAGCCATTTTACTTTGATGGCCGTTTTTCTCAGAAGTTAAACACAGTTGGGGTGGAAATACTTTTGAGGATTACCGACTCTGCAGCCATTTTGTTCTTTGAAATCACATTGGGCAACAGAAAATTCTGCAAAATCAAATTGGTTTAAGTCGTGCTTATAGAGAAGCATATTTTCAACCGTGTTTCCTAATGCTTTGATACAGGAAAACTCAATTAGCATTTATATTAGAAAATGATTTTGAGCCCAATTGGGGCCATCTGATGCACCAACAAACATGTCTCCAGTGGGAAGCACCATCTGTCTTTTTCTAGACATTTTCAAAATGAAAACATAAGGGTTTAACCTTCACCTCTTTTTAAGTAACCAGGGGCAATTCTTGTCTAATACTGTTTCACTTCACTTTATAGATTGGCTATTTCAAAATGATCATTGTCATAATAATGATAACAGCACAAACAGACACATAATGCCAAATAATATAAATCTTTTATTGTAACAAACAATAGAAACTGAGGAATAAATTAGAATGTTACATTTTTTTGTCATTAAACCAATAGTGTACATGTTGGTGTGCTTGGAGACTGTAGTGTGGGGCTAAGCAAAGCAAAGGGGGTTGCAGGCGCTGGCAGGGAGGAGGGCGAAGCTGGAGCCTTTATGTCCTGTGGAGCAGAGTGCAGTTCATTGTTGTAATGGAGTACTGGATGTAGAAAAAGAGACTTCTATAGTAAATACTGAAGTGAAAGCTGAAGATGTCCTGTTCCAATGCAACTGTCATAAACAGTAAAGGACATCAAAGTCAAAACTATATGATAGGACAAGCTAATGGGTCACTTCATAATTTACAAATTCAGCATGTCTCTTTAAACTATCTTCAAAATATTTCCACTGGCATTTAAAACACTGACCAGCTGAATGAACAGTGAAGGGGTAATAACTCCAAATCACATCAAGGTGACCACTTTGTTTGTATCACTTTGTGTAACCGTGGACATTTTCCAGAACATTTGTGCATATGTGCCAATAAATTCATCAATGAGGAGAGTTTACCTCTCAACAATAAGGTTGAAACAGATCTGCCTACCCCCTGTAGACATTTTTTTTCACAGAGCTTTTAGCCTGTGGCGCGTGAAATGACGCGCGCAGCATGCAGCAGGTCATGTAGTTTATATAGTCAGTCACCAAACGCACCAGGATACAGCTGAAAACATCAGTCTATCGGCGTGAACCTCGTCCTCGCTATGAGCCCAGAGGACAGCGGAGTTCTGGTTCTCAATGTTTCCACCGGGGAGCAGCACCACTACAACATCTGGCTCCCTGGTATCTCCATAGCTGCTGTCTACGGGGTCATCATTTTCGTGGGTCTGGTGGGAAACGTCACGTTGATGAGGACGTGTCTGACGGTGAAGTCCATGCGGACGGTGCCCAACTTGTTCTTGTCCAGTCTGGCTCTGGGGGACGTGCTGCTGCTGGTGACCTGCGCCCCGGTGGACGCCAGCCGCTACCTGGTGGACGAGTGGCTCTTCGGCCGCGTTGGATGCAAACTGATTCCGTTCATCCAGCTCACCTCGGTGGGAGTCTCCGTGTTCACACTCACTGCTCTCTCCGCTGACCGGTAGGGTTCTTACGCAGTCTGGGCATGCTTTTTAAAAAGTCTTAGTGACTTCTCATCTTCTTGATTAAACATGAGGTTGCTTTAGATTCAATTAAAAAAGAAGTATGGCACTTCTGTTGTTTCCTTATTGAATAAGACCCACTGTGAAGTTACTGAGTGAATGTTTACTCAAGTGGGAGCCACTCGAACCCTTTTTTTGCCCCCTGATCATATTATGATCATAGCAGATGAATGCATTTACCCTCAATTTATGATCAGCTAGATGGATAATAATGCCATAATTAGCACCGCTGACATGCAACTTATATTTTTCTATTAGTTAGTCAGCCGGTTTAGCTGTAATAAAACACAAATAAAGATTTGGAAGACAGCTAATTTCTCAGTAATTTCTAAAAATCTAATAATTAGTTTTCTTGGTGAGATTGCAAGGTGTTTAAACGTAGAAAACATTTATTTTTCCAGTTTAAATTATTATTTCTTTCAAGCCCAAAACACAGTGTCCCAACCAAGGGAGGCAGAATTTGGGGGAAGTGCACTCCTTGTACAATTAACAACATTGTGCCTTTCACGTTTTGGTTCTACTCTAAAACTTGATACATTGTTAGCAGACACCGCAATCTGTGCAGAAATCAAATTATTTTCATTGCTGTTTCAAGTAGTCGTGCGTAATTGAAGGTTACTTTGAGTCAATACAAAAGTATCCCAGCCAACCTCGGTCTCTCCTACTTAACAATTCTATTTTATTTCCTGTAATTTTTATTGCTGCCAACAACTCTCAGTGCTTTCAGCAGCTCTTAGCTTCTGCAACTAATCCTAGCTAATATTATCTACTGTGGTTCCTGTTTCCTTTCATTCAAAGCTTAATTACATTTTTCTCAGCTATCATATACAGTCAGATAAGGTTTCAAAGCTTATCTGTCCCCCACAACACAATAACATATTTGTCCTGCAGTTGCTTTTAAATACGTGCATGATGAAGAAACTATAATAAGGTGATCAATTCAGTTCATCCTGACAGGAGATCACAGTGGCAAAACATGTTGCAGTGATGCTCTTCTCTGTTCAGGTACAAAGCAATAGTCAGACCTCTGGACAGCCACACGTCCAGCGCTACATTCACTTTCTTTTTTCGAGCGGGGGCCATCTGGCTGCTCTCTGTGACCCTGGCGATCCCTGAAGCTGTCTTCTCCGACCTGCACACCTTCACCACCAGCCACACCAATGAGACATTTGTGACCTGTGCGCCCTACCCCCACGCTGGGGAGATGCACCCGAAAATCCACTCCACCGCCTCCTTCTTCATCTTCTACATCATCCCCCTCTTCGTCATATCTGTTTACTACTACTTCATCGCTCGCAGTCTGATCAGGAGCTCTGTGGACATCCCTGCTGAAGGACACCTGCACCTCCAGAAACAGGTCTGATTACAGGGTCCTTTAAATGTATTTATCTTATTTACAAAGTGTTCTTTATAGACCACTTTCTAAACTATGTATTTACATATTCACTGATCTTACTGTGTATTCGACAGAAACTGATTTAAATCTTTGCTTATACATCAAAACTGACTGAATGCGAGAACAATGACGATGCTCAGTTTAAAAAGAAAAATTGAAATGTTGATCTGATGATTGAGTTAGATGAAAAGAGGATGACCAATGTTATTTAGATTTTTTTGTAGGGGAATGTCTATACTAAATTATAGAGCAATCAATACAATAGTTGTCGATCAATTTCATTAGTAGAACAAGCAGCAAATTCAAATAATTAACATAAATAGAATGTGGAGCTAGACTCACATTTCCATTGTTGTAAAATGAGCTGTTTTGCTCGCAGTAAAGACAAAATTGTTAAGGTGCTATTGGCGCTATAGTGGAAAAGGATTCATCCTCTGGGAACCATGAATGTCTGTTAAATTGTAGAAGCCGATCTCTTCTCTCTCTTCTCTTCTGTCAGATCAAGTCCAGAAAGCGTCTGGCCAAAACTGTGCTGGTGTTTGTCGGTTTGTTTGCCGTCTGCTGGCTGCCCAGTCATGTGATCTACCTGTACCGCTCCTACCACTACGACCAGGTGGATACTTCGCTGGGCCACTTCATCGCCAGCGTGTGCGCTCGCATATTGGCCTTCACCAACTCCTGTGTGAACCCATTTGCCCTCTACCTGATGAGCAAAAGCTTCAGCAAACACTTCAACAAGCAGCTTCTGTGCTGCACTTCTCCCAGACGCTTGTACAGTCAGAGCAGTAGGAGCACACATATAACCACCGTCTGAAAGCATCTGTGTTTTCATAAAGTGCACAGAACAAGGATATGCGCATGAAAACCCAGACGTCAGCTTTATTAGGCTTCCATCTGCACAGTGCCATCATTAACAAAAAAGACGACTACTGCTGGAGATAAAGCAGATGGTCCCTCTGACATTTGTATAGTAGAAGTCTTATTGACCTCGTAAGAATGTATAGTAGAAGTCTTATTGCCCTCGTAAGAATGTTTGTCAAATGTCAAGTTATTAGAATTGTCAAATGTCACATTTTGTACATAGAGATGTTTCTGTTAAATTATATTTTATAGTTAATGGTGTGTTGGTTGGCTATTCTTCTGTATGTATAAATGTCAGAAACCATTTGTTCATTTCTAAGTTTGTTTAATGTGTAATATAAAGTGCAACTAAAAATTGCAATATTGATTCAAATATTATTTTTCTGAATAATGGATTAATTGAAGTCTTCTCAAAAATGTTGCAGTTTCCCAAAGCCCAAGCAACAATAGTCAAAAACAAAACAAAAAATTCCTTTCACAGCGATATAAAACATATAAAAGCAGAAAAAAGCAGAAAACTGTGAATATTTAGCATTTTTACACCTGCTAAATAGCAGCATGTTAGCATTGTCACCTGGAGTGTAAGCATGTTAGCATGCTGACATTAGCAGTGAGCTCAAACCACTGCTTCCTCACAGAGCAGCTAGCGTGGCAGTAAACTCGTTTGTCTTGTTTCTTGATAAATTACCTGGAAGATAATTGAAAGTATTGCTGATTCATTTTGTGTTGAATGGTTTAAGCTCTAGTAATATATTGGTGATAGTAGTTTTAACAGTGTAGTCACATGTATGACAATAATATTAATAATGTGCAATTTACAGAACTGCGGTGTAAACTTGTTTTGTATCGTCTTCACCATGAATATGTTGATATTTATGTTCCATTGATCTTCTCCTCTGGCCGTGATTCGTATGAGTTTTGTGATTGTGAACTTTAAGCTGTTAAAAATAAATAAAAAAAATGATCTGGATTGATTTGAATCACAGTGGAAAGTCTGTGTCTCTGCTGCTTTTCTCTCAGCAGAGTGAAACACTGCTGCATATCTGACCTTTAAACATGGAGCAACACGTGAAGTGAATGGAGCTCATATTTGAGCTATTATATTCTTTGAATTATGAATTTTATTGCATTAGACCTTCTCTTTGTATTTAACCTGCACCCTCAGTATAAACCCATTGTGAACCATGGCTTCAAAGAAAATGTCAACATCCGTATTGTCTAATCTAATGTGTCCTCTGTTTTCAACACCTTCAGAGGTCGCTTTGTACAAGATGAACGACTTTGTGACAGGTACAGCGTGTGTCCGCTGACTTTAGACGCGAGCAGCAGGAAGTCCATCAACACACACACACAAAGAAACACACAGAACCCAACATGTATCCATCTTTCAGAACATCTGCTGAAGGCCGAGGCTTTTCTTTGACGTTTAGGTAAAAGACACGTCAAGTTAAATCAGATCAAACAAGATTTTTCGGGGCTCTGTAGAGGTGACCTTTCAGGGTGGCATTTGAAGACTGGAAATTAATTCCCCTTCAGCAGCATCGCTTCCAAAACTCAGTCCACCCCTCAGTTCATCAGATCCTTTTCAACATTTCACATGCACTTGCTTGACTCTGCCTTCTTTAATCCTTCAATGTGTCAGATCTGAGCATATTCCTAACAGGTCTTTGTTTGTTGTAAACCTATTTTGTAAGTCCGTAAACTTTAAAAACAATATCAAACACCACTTATTTAAAGTCCATCGATTACTCTTTTGACTGATGTATAATAAAGGCTGTGGCCTTTGAAGAAAATGTAACAAGTCTGGGTTGGCAGATATGAATAGTATACGGGTCAAAGAATACGGGCAGAAAGGATCCTCAGTTCAGTGAATTTTATTGTAGGAAGTGCAGTGGATAGACATGTGTGCAGCTATAGCAGGATGACTATCAGGGTGCTATCCAGAAAGGTAGAAGAAACTCCCCTTGCAAGTACTCAAATTACTGCACATGTATCACTGCACATTAGAGTACATGACTGTAAATGACTACATTACTGTTCATAAAGCACAATATTAACATTCAAGGCTAACAAATACAGCCCAAACAAATCAGAGTACTGACTTCAAGTAACGATCGGACGGTGTCCTCCAGAGCAATTGTAGAATTAGGAGCCAATTACGGATAAAACAGTAAAATACTTACTGTTATGTTAATTTAAGCAACAACAGGGGGAAACTGTGCAGTGCAACTGCAGTGAGTGGACAAACACTGGCAGTCATGTTAACAGGGCGAGGCAGGCTTTCTCACATGTAGATCACCAAAGATAATAAGAATACGACATTACAATCATCTTTTTAACATACTTTTTACAAAATACAGTATTTACTCTAAGTGGATACACTTTTACACTTTATACCTATTTTGTGAGATCCTGCATAACAATATCAGCCCTAAACAAGTACTCCAATGATTTTAATTAATTATAATCTTCAACAGACACTGAGAAAAGTGACATCACAGCTCCTGGAGCCACAGAATGTATACAACTTTTTCTACATGCAGTAGCAGCCCACTGTCCAACACCTGTAAACAGACTTCCCAGAGTTCCCTTTTAAAAACATTTTTGGATTAATGTAAAATCCATAAACTGGAATGGAATGGAAAGTACTTCATTAAAAGTATAAAAAATACAAAACCTGATACATTAAAGTTATTGCAATACGAATATCTTGGAACTTGCCGTCCCGTTCTCTGAACTGTCTTTTTTCACTTGCCTTGTTAGTCAGGGACAAGGCACAAATGTGAAGGACAACTCAGTATATGTGGCTCACAAGCAGCCTCAGCAGCAGGGCAGAGATAGCTCACTGGTAGAGGAGAAAGTCCTTCATGCTGTGAGGGAGGAAGAGGCCAGAGGCTCTGTGGAGACGACTCTTTCCCAGACTTCGGCGAATACAGAGCCGACAGAGCTGAGACAGAGAGCACGGACCTGGGCAGAGATTTAAGTAGTGTTTTTATACCTTAATATGAATAAAATGGGTTCATGTAACTTGCATGAATGTCCACAACATACCTTTTTTCTGCAGTGCAACTCTCACTGCGCTGTTTGGCGATGACAGAACCAGAGGAGTCTTTCCCTCTGCGTTCCTACAACACTCATCAGCCCCAAAGTCCAGAAGAAGATCCACAACGTTGGCTCCTCCTCCTCGAACTGCAGCATGTAAAGGACTGTCCTGCCCACACCCGATTCGAACATCTGCTGCTACAAGTGCACACACACACACACATGGTTAAACACCCGAGGCTTGGTCCCATAAAACGTAGCACTAATAGATACAGAGAAGACAATGAGAGACTCTCTAATGTTTGTTTCCTTGTATTGTGCTACCTTGTTCCTTCGATGTATTTTTAACCCTCTAGGATTATTTTATTAAACTTGTGTAAAAGTTGCTCTGTAAATATAATTCTTATTTGTATTACTGTTAGAAATCTGCAGTGAAAACTAAACAAGGTGTCTTGAGGGGATTAGATGTTTTTTTCACTCTATACGTTTTACTGTTAGGGGAACTAACATCTCTCTATGAACTATGATTGTTCCTGACTCTTTGGCAATTTGCAGATTACATTACCTGAGTGTAGCAGCACCTCGACACAATCTGCAGCTCGGGCCATACAGGCAGAATACAGCGGCGTCCCAACCACAGGCAACTCCATGTCGATGTGAGCTCCATACGACAGCAGCACCTCCAGACACTCTCTGTGACCTGAGGGAGAATCAACATCAGAATCTGGGCACTGTTTAAATCATGTCTATACACTAAGACATGTTTGCACACACACGCACCTTTCTTAGCAGCCTCATGGATGGGTGATGGCAGCTGGTAGGGGGTGTGGATGGAGGCACGGTGCTGCAACATGAGCCTGACACAAGCAGCACTGCCGCTGCTGCAAGAGTTGAACAGAGGTGTGGCGCCATCTGTCGATACTGTCTCCACCTACGGGGAGATATAAAATGAAAATATGTCAAAACTTGCCGCCTGTTTTACCCACAATGCAACCCAACCTCTGACACTTCTTTCTGAGATTTTGGTTTAGTTGTGCTGTCAGGCGGCAAACTCCAGTTCTGCTGAGTGAAGCCGATGCGGAAGTGTCTTAAGACCTGCGTTCTCTCTACTAACCATCAGGGGCGACTCCTCTGGTTGCAAAAAGAAGTACAATTGTATAGAAGTCTATGAGAAAATGACTCTACTTCTCTCTTGATTTATTACCTCAGGAAACATTGTAAACATGAGTTTATGGTCTCAATCGCTAGTTTCAAGTCTTCTTTAATACAGCATGATGTTCATTTAGTAAATTATGGTCCATTTAAAGTAAAATAGACCATAAAGAGGAGTATGCTTTAGGGCAGGCTTACTGTGATTGGCAGGTTGCTGCCACTACTACAGGGCGTCACTCTTCCGCATTCCAAATATGGTAATTTCCGTTTATCGGTTGCGAAAAAAACACTAGGCGACGGTCGTATTCCAAGATGGCGACGCTGGACAGGAGGCTTCATAATGAATCAAGTGACATCACTGAAGTAAATTTCTCAGATTTTGGCAGCTCCCTTTGAGGCCACAAAATGCCGTACATGACACATATGCAGTAGTACTCATTCAAACCTGTAAATAGTTGTTGTCAAAAATCATTGGAGTTCACCTTTAATAACATTTTGTAACAATGTTTTCTTCACAAATTTAGTACAATTAAGTATTTCTTTATGTATCTCAATACGTTTGAGTGTGGTTTTACATGTCTGAGACAAATTAGTCAGACAAAAGGAAGAACAATTGTGTAAATTTCTTCTGCTTCCATAATCAAATTGTTCCTGATGAATTTAAAGTTGGCACAATAAAGTTTTACTGTATTCATAACTTTTTTGTCTAAAGTAGCTAAAGCTGGAAATGTCTATTTTATGATTCCCCCAAATTTGCCCAGTTTCTCTCCCTACCTCAACTGTGTATGATACCCAAATATGTCCATTTTGTCATTCCTAAAATAAACATAAACCCTCTAAAAACAAGCCTGTCTTCAAACTAAAAATACAATGTTCTTACATTTGCACCATTGTCTAGCAGGAACTTGGCACAAGCATAATGGCCACCGAGGCAAGCTTCGTGGAGAGGAGAGACTCTGTCCATGGTGAGCGTGTCTACATGGAAGCCCTGCAGGGGTGATCAGAGAGGATAACACTGTCAGATACAAACATGAATGTGCGGTGCATTGTGTGCACACATCAGGAGAAAACCCAACTTTACCTGAACGATGAGGCTTCTCAGCTGTAGCAGCCTCCCTTGGTAGGCGGCGTCATGGAGAGGAGTTCTGTCTGACCAGAAGTCTTGAGACACAGAGAATAAGATCAGGAATGTCTCCACATTCAGAAAACACACACAGATGCACTCATGGCCAAGTGATCCTGATCTCTGCTCATTGTAGTGTTAAGATGACCTCATTTAAATACATGTTTATCCGGTTTCTCAGGGTCACCCCAACCCCCAAACGTACTGAACACACACACATAGGATTTCAATGGCTACTGCAGAGCCCAGTGAACAATATTTACATGCAAAGTTCAAATCAAGAACCAAAACACTATAAGGAAACTTGCGTAATGCAAATACATGCAAAGCTAAACCACACCGAGTAGAAGGTTTGTACATTTTCTCATAAAGTAACAAAAGTAATCCAGTTGTTACTCTTATTTTTCTCCCACAACACAACCAAAATGAGCTGAAAGAGCTAAAAAAAGACAAAGAAAAAAACTTACCAGCCATCAGTGAGTTGCATGCCAACCCCCCATAGATGTACAAGGGCCTCTGCCAAGGTTGTGGGCACAGGGAAACCTCTGTTTGAACAGCAGCCATAATGAAAATGAAACAACCGAAGACTCCTCAAAGACTGTCCGGGACTCAAGCTTTGTCCAGGCAGATAAACAAACCTAAAGTCGGCCTTCCTCCCTCTGTTATCTGGGTCCTTGGCCACCTCCCCCACATTGCCACCTCCCGCCCACCCTTGTCCCAGACCATGGATACAGTCTACAGTATATCCATAACAATGGTTCTTTGGAAGGGCCAGTACTGATTATACACCTTGATTTAAGCACAAAAAAAGTGCATGCAAACAGCTACAAGCAGAGGGACAACAGACTTGGACAAGTTTCCGTGTAGATATCTGGGTGAAAGAGGAGCGCTATCCATCTTCTGTTATAACATAATTCAACCCCTAAAGTATTTCGCCCCTACATGACTTAAGTGTTATGATTACTTATAAAGAATTGACTAGACATACGCTCTACATGTAGGCATCCGTCACAATTTTAATACATTATAAAGTCCTATACGTTTTGTTTTAGCTCTCTCCACATGAACTCATGTGGCAAGTTTATTTTTTGCATGCATGATATAATGTTCAACCTCCAATCACGACGCAATGCAAATCCCCACTGTTGGCCTCTAAAAGCCATGCCACCCCATCTCTATCACCTCCTGTTTCACAGCTAATCTGTGTTTTGTCTGGCACTCTTCATTCCACAGTCTCTTTCATAACATTCTAAGAAAGTAGATGTGTTTCTACGCATAATGTACTGGTCTTTAGAAAGATGAAACTACTACAATGCTGTAGTGAGAAGACAGAAAACAGATGAAACATTAGAAAGTACAGTTTATTTTCCAGAGTGGACTCTCTGGGAAGGTTTGGTGCTTTATAAATATGAAACATCTCAAATGATTAAACAATGGGTATTCATGATTTTAAAGTCAGACAAATAAACCAATTTGCTCTCATCTACATACAGCTTTGCACAAACTGAAAGTAGTTTACTGCCATCTTGTTTCTCAGTGTGAATACAATCAACCAGCCCTTTACTCCCTCTGCTCAGAGCTCCAACGAGTGCCACAGGTTTCCATTTTAATGATTAAATATAAAAATAAGTAATTCCAAGTCTTTGACAGAATGCTTTCACAAGAGGCCCCTTTTGATGAGTAAATGTAAACAATGTCTGGGGTTACCATGAGCACATTCAGCAGCCATGTTTCAAATGTCAGATGGCACCACAGAGACAACATATAGCTCCATGTTAGCAACTGGAAGTGAAGCAGAGGTATGGACTGATCACAATGCTGACATTTTGGATTCTGCCACTTGCTTCGTGGCACTTTTAGAACGAGCTCCGACTTTACTGTGCGGTTGCTGCCACCACAGTCCGTGAGGGCCGGTGCCGTCCACGGCGACGTCCATGACCCGATCTGGCACCCACCACTGCAGAAGCAGCAGGAACAGAAAGTTTAAAACGGCCACGAATGCAAAGATGGAGCCAGCCACGGGGCCACAGTGGGCCCTCAGTCTCCGCAAACGTCTGTCCAGGGGAAGCACCTCCTCTCTGGCCACGCGGTCGTACACCTGGGAGGAACACAGGAGGCGGTGATCAGAGTCACCGCGGATCATTCAGCGGGAAGCCCTCAGCTGTGTGAATCATCAGTTGATTTACATGCGCAGAAGAACACAGATTGCTGTATCTATGTGTACATTTATCAGGTCGGGAAGCAGATCGCTCCCCTCACACCGCACCTTATTTTGAAAGCGTGGCTTTCTTACTGGAACTGTATTAGTGATACAAGATGCAGCTGCTTGATGACTTTAGTGTGTATTTGGGTGAGGGCTGTAGTGAGAACACAATTTACAGATGAAGAACAGTCAACTGTTCATCTGTGGAAACTGATTAATTTATTTTCAATACAAGAAAGTTGAGTTGGTGAAACTACCTTTTCAGTCCTCTCAGCAACGTTTTTCCAGGTGTAGAGGGTTTGCACACGAGCATGGATAGAGGCGGGGGAGGGGACGGTCCCCGAACGCTGCCGGGCGATGACCGTCTCCAGACCAGCACACAACGCCCGCACAGTCGGCTCACACATGGTAATCAACTCCTCAGGCAACACCTCGGGAATGCCCCCTACACGAGTGCTCACCACCTGGAAAATAAAACAACTAGATGTACACGCTTTATACAAACACACCAAAGTAAAAAGCTCATTACTGCGCGTTTTCTACTGGCTTCATCAGTCTGTGATGGATTTTTACTGAATTCTATGTCAATGTTGGATAATAGCAACTATTATCCCATGGCTGCTTTTGTGCCACAAACTGTCCGCGGACGGCCCCATTTTTTCCCTTTTGAGTGTAAAACATATTTTAAGCAGTGCTATGAGATCGAGTTGAGCAGCCACCTACGTGCACACACCCACGGGAAATCTGTGACAAGAACACTTCAAAACCTTCAGCTGTGTCAAGCCAATTCTATTCAGTTGAAAGGGCGGTTTCTGTAGAGCTGGTTGGTTTGAAATTCAGAAATGCTTCTTTTCTTCCTGTTTTTGGAGCCATTGGCAGTAAATAACTGTATACATTTGATAAATTGTAGAAATCGGTGGTTTACAATGCTTTGTGTTGCGACATGAATGTAAGAAGAACGTTTAGGACATATTAATAACTATTTCCGCATCTAATGAAAGCAGGTTTCTCTGAAACAGGGAGTGAGAGACACAGGGAGACAGTGTGTCTTCTCCTGTGTTAAAATGAGTTGTAGAAAGTAAATGTAAACACAGTTAATGCAGCTTCCACATGTATTTCTTAGATATAGGAAACATTGCACCTAATATGGCCATGAGTGTTAAGATTATCCCATCAATCCAACGATACACGGTGATTTTAATGATGAATTTATCTTTGAACTGAAAGACTCTTTGCTATAATTTCCTAACCTTAAACTATTGTACGAATGCCAACACACCTGCAGTCCACAGCTGGCTCCTTCTACGATGGCCATGCAGAACGCTTCAGTGAGAGACGTGTTGAGGAAGATGTGACCCTGCACCAGAACTCCACGAACATCTTTATGCTCCAATGCCCCAAGCAGACGGACCCTGAAGTGAACCAATTCAAAAGGAGTGAGGCACAAATAATACCAGCTTCCAGGGCTAAACAGTAAGGATTGCCCGATTGCCCAGGGCAAGTAAAACGCCATGTAAATCTAGCAACTTACTTGCCTGATTGGGCAAGTGGTAAAAAAAACAACACAAAATGTTTTCCAGAGTCAACTCTCTGTTCATAAAATGTCGCTTTTGCAACAGTAATACCCGACATTCAACTCAATATTGCGGCTAAAGTGGTGTCATTTTATGTTCTTACAAAGAGCATGTTCTTAAAGAGGTTTAAGTGATCCCCCTATTGTAAAAAATGTCCTCCAGCGGTACCTGTCATGTAGTTGGTATTTCTCTCTCACTTCCTCCAGCACGAGTCTCTTCGGTCCCTCTCCACCAATTAGAAAGTGCAGATCCGGATGTTTGAGGCAGAGCTCCGGGATTATTCCACCAAGAAGATCGATTCCTTAACAGAGGAAGAGATTGTGAACACTTTGCCAACATGAGGGCTTGAACAAAAAAGGACCGTGTCTTATTCACCAAGACATTCTGCTGTCTACAATTTGAGCACCCGTTGTCCAGCAGAAATATGAACTTATAAGCTAAAATGTCAAACACGAACAGCTTCTCTGTACCTTTGCGGTACACAAGACGGCTGACCACAACAATAGTGATCCTGTCGCCCTGGCGCTGAGAGGGGTCGGGGGTGAAGTCGGTAGGGTCAACAGCGTTGGGAATAACAGACACTATCTCCGGGTTGAGTGCTGCACGGAGCACCGTGTTCTCCTTGCTGGTGTACGACACGCACACAGTGTGGTTGGTGTCGCACAGTGTTATAGTCAGAAGCTTGTTGGTCAGCACGGAGCTCACATCAGCAAAGCCGAAGAGCGAGTGGTCAGTGAACACCTGTAAACGATAACACGCTTTAGGTTTATGTCAGCAGATTATGTGCAGCGTAATGATTTTGAGACCCGGCACACAAGAAGTCATATACCGTGTTAAGGCCCATGGTCTTGGCGTGGAACAGTGCGTCATGGCCCATGGCGGAGAATGAGCTGTGTGCGTGCACCACAGTGATGCGTTCCCTTACAAACACACAGCGCATCAGTGGGAGACTGTGGAAGCAGGTGGTGGCCGTGGACTGGTTGTACATCACCTGCAGGGGGAGGTAGTAGACCTTCAGTCCGTTGGTCAGGTGCCTGACGCCCTTCCTCCTGCCATAGGCATGCGTGGCAATTACCACCTTGTGTCCCTTTTCAATCAAACACTGAGATAGCTGGTAAATGTGACTCTCTACTCCTCCCATGTTTGGATAGAAGAAGTCTGACACCATGCAGATGTTGTGCTTCCTGCTGGGGACCCCGGCAACCTCTGCAGGAGCTCCAGAGACTCTCTGAGTTGAAGGCTTATTCACAGCCGCTGATCTCCTTCGTTGGCCCATTGTGGATACCTTGTGTGGCTGTGCACCTCACTGAAATGATTAGTTTAGTCATTGATTAGTTGGTAAACAGCAAGATTAATTGGTGACAAAAGTATTTTGATAATGAAAAAAAATGTGTTTAATAATTTTAAAAGCAAAAATATCATACATTTTGTGCTAAATCAATTCAATTAATCAACAACAATTTAATTATACGATTTCTTAACAAGGCATTCCCCGTTTCCAAATTCTTCAATGTGAGAATTAGCTTTTTTCTCTGTTAAATGTCATTATAAAATCTATATTTTTGGGTTTCAAATATATTTAGATTATAATCATGAAAAAGATTGTGAAAAAAATTACCATAACTATTTCTAACTTGCCTAAAGTACTTTTAAGTGAACCATACACTCTTTTCTTTTCTTTTTCAAATAGTTGACTAACATGTACACCTGTAATGATCCACCTGTGGTTTAGTGTAGCACCTGTCTCATTTCTCTCCTGGTTGTAGCAGCTCACTTAGCATTAGATATGTCCGAGAGTGAATTGTCCCTTTAACTTGCATTTAAAATATGGTAGTCAACCTCACTCAAGTTTTTACAAACACATTGGAGACTAACGCTATCTGGTGTAATGTAAGTTGACTATTAGCCAACTCTTCTAAGCTACATTGACGTTGTTTATATCCTATCTGACGCTAGTTCATGACACATTAGCATCAAGCTAACCAACTCTGCTCATATGTAACCACTTTACTGAACTTAAAGCAGTTAGTTTTCCTATCTGTCAGAATTGCCTTACCGTGGACAAAATGTCAGTCCTGTTCCAGCCTGTGGAAACACACAGAACTCTTTTCCACATGTAGATTAATTTATACTTGCTCGCCCTGAGGTAGAAGCCAGTTAGCGCCTGTATCACTTCCGGGTTTGTCACTACGTCATACGTAATGACTCACTGATAGCTCTGCTGTAAATAGAGGAATCAGGTGACAGTTGGCTAACTAGCTGTTATATGATAACGACAATGTTAGATGACCATTTATCTGTTCATATGAGTGGAGTGAATGTGAACGTTTTATATCCAGCCATGTTCTCCAGAAGGAGAATCTGTTTGTTTTTGTTTTTTACATGAATGAATGGCTGAGACGTTTGTATTTACGAGTACATTGTTTGCATCTTGCAATAAATATTGATATGTTCTTGATCACTTAGGTTTGTAATTTAACAAAAAAACTTTTTGTGTTTCTTACAGGGTAAGTTTCTACAAATTTTAATGAATTCAATATCCTTAAGGCAAATCTGGCAAATCAACAACATTCAGTGTAAGTACTATATCCCAAAGTCAAAAGAACACGCTGCATTTTCACACACCCTGTTGTACGAAAAGAAGCTCGCCCAAGGACATTTATGAAGAAATCACAGTAGATAGAATTTACAAAGCATATAGTGCTGATATTGCGCTGTATAAATATCACCCTCAAAGGTCATAAAGGATCAATGACCAATACAATTGCTGTATATCACCCCAGAATTCATATTTTACATAATGGTTGCTAAGTGTTGCAAAATCAGATCAAGTTACCTCAAATATCTACAGTAAATCTGTAAGTATTAATAATTTACTTTTCTCACATTAGAAGTATAGCGGTTACAGTATATCGTATATACCAGCCAGGTACATTGGTGATGTGATTAAATGTCTCACTTCCCTGTTGTTTTTCTTTAAAGAAGTATATGGAGTATATCTGAATGGTCTGGCAATTTACCGTGTCAACAAGGCAGTTTTCCAAAGAATGCAGAACTTTGGCAGATATCAATATGAATCCCGTCATCGTTACCTGCCACAGAATCCACAAAAGTGCACACTTCCAGCAATCTATTTTTGTTGCGTGATGATTGATAACTGATTACATTTAAATGTATCACTTCATCTTCTTATCGTAGAGGGCAATCTCCTTTCACAGTCCTTGAAGTTGAAGGAAAGATTAACACATCCTTGCAAACATCCATAAAAGCTGTCAAGCTGGACATCCTTTTCAGAAACACCTCATTCCTTTTCGTGGCATGAACACAGGATGAAACCTGCCTGTAAAACAGTTTTGGAGTGGGCATGATGTTAACCACAGTTTGGTGGAATGTGGCAGTTTGGTGGAATGTAGACGCCTACATTGTGACATTGGGGTTTGTTGTGTGTTTAGACGTTGTTGGTATTCACTTCTCGTTTCCTCTGTTATCTCCTGTAGGACAAAAGACATGGAAAGATAAATTCCACTGAGAGATCCAGTTACAACGGCAAGTTTCAACACTGAAGAGCAAAAGTGGTCAGGCTCGACTTAACAACAACTGTAAGACGTGTTGTGCAATTCTGGTTCAACCAGTACAGCTCAAATACAAGACACATGGAATAACGATCTCTGTTGTTATGACTACTTACTGTGAATACAAGAGAAGGGAAAGTCCAAGCACCGACACAATGGGGATGAATTTTATGCAGGATCTTATCCATACTACTGGTTGGGGTCTTGGGTCCTGGAAAAGTTCTGTGGAAGAAAATTACAAAAATATAATGCTTTACATAACAAAATAATTTGAAGTCACCTCCTAAACAACACTTTACTTGTTAATGTCTTTTACAATATGTTGTATTATGATTGTTGCCGAGTTTACTAATAATATCGTAATGCATTTACTGTGGAGTAGTAATGGGCTAAATGTAAGTGCAATCCTCTCTGAAATAGTTAAAAACAAATAGTTACCAGGCCTTACTTCCCAGCCAAGGTTCAGGGTAGTTTCTTCTGTCTGACAAACACTGCTCGCTGGTGAGAGAAGACTCAAGTTCAAATTTTGCAAGATGTGTAAATTCATGGGTGCATGAATGAGTGATCAAATACTGCAGGTATGCATAAGGGATGAATGACTCACCAGAAACGTTTAGATATACATCGAATGTCATGTACGTATCTTGACTGTGAAACGAACATTTGTATTTCCCCTGGTCCTCCGCTGTGATATTGGTGAGGAGAACAGAGCAGTTATTGCGGTTCTCAGACAGAAATGTTTTGGTCCTGCCCTTGTATCTATTCGTAAGGGTCTTGGTGAAGCTGAACACCGGCATCGGGTTTGGTTCTTCCATCTGCCAGTTAAACCCCTTGTCCAACTCTGAGCAGTTGCATGGCAGAAGTACACTGTCTTCTAAGAAACCTCTAATAGTTGTGTCATCACCTAGAGTAGAAAAGATAAATAGGGATACAAATTTGTTTCTGAAAACACATCTGCCTTGAAAATTTGAGTTGACTGAACTAAACTTCTGGGCTCATAAGTCGTGCAAATATAAAACCAACTGAGTTAAGTTCACTAAACTTGACAAAACAAGTTCAGTGAAACTGAGAGACGTTTTAGTCAAATTGACAAATATCAGAGTTGTACTCCCAGTTTGAAGACCCAATGTTGAATTTGATGTCAAGGTTTTCCAGCAGTCTGTTGGAGCACATTTATACCAGAGTACAGAGCCTTTACATGAAGTTACTCCCAGCAATTATCTTAAATTAAGAGTGTAAGGACTACTAAATTATATTAAATACCAATATTCATCATTGCTTTAATTATTATCAGAACAAACAACCATGTCTGAACATGTATTAAAGACTGATAAACTTTCTGTAAACTACAAAAAAGTGATCTCTAGTGGTCGTCTGCTGATTTGCTGCTCCGAGTGGTGGAAAATAACTAAGTACATTTTCTCATGTACTGTACTTAGGTTCAATTTTGAGGTACTTGTAGTTTACGTGAGTTTTTCCATTTCATGTTACTTTATTTTTCCACCACACATCCTTTTAGAGGGAATTTTTGTACTTTTTACTCCAAAAAGTCCCAAATTTCTTTTTAAATTAAGATTTTACATTTGAAAAAAATCTGATAAGATAACGAAATACAAAACACAATTGAAAGTTAAACCAGTGGCACACAATGTTTTTCTTTCGTGACCTCTTATTGAAAATCAATGTGAGGTTGGGTGTCCTTGCCATGTTTCAGATATCTATGAGTTGTGAGCAGCTCCAACAAAAAGACATTTACCCCTCTAAACTTCTCATTCAGTTCATTTAAATAACAATTTGAGGTCAAATTAAAATAGTAATACATTTTCACAAACCACAACAAAGATGTGAGAAATATCCAGACAATTAAAACCGGTTTGGGCAGTATTTCTCACAGGATTGTGAGAGGCTGTGGGTGACCCTCTGACCCTCTAGCAGGCATGGGCAAACTACAGCGAGAAAAAGTAATGCAATTTTGTACATTTTAGATTTATATGCATCAATCTGGTATCCTTTGAGAACAAAATTAAGAGGCAATCTATAAAGAATGGTGTGCTCATGTAAACTGTACATTTAGGCTACTCCAGTACTATACTTATGTACAATTTTGAGGTACTTGTACTTGAGCATTTCCATTTTATGTAACTTTATACTTCAACTCCACTACATCTCAGAGGTGAAATTGTACTTTTTACTTCACTGCATTTATTTGCCAATATTAGTTGACAGCTACTTTGTATATTTATGTATATTAAGTATATAAAGTAGTTAAAATGAACTCCACCTTTACCAGCTGCCACATTAAAGTAATGAACACATTAATGCATCGATAATTGTAATTCAATGATATATTCTGAAAACGGCCATTCTGCATAATGAGTATTTTACTTTTGTTGCTTCAAGTAATTTTCCTCCTTCTTGATTTCTATCCAATTAATTTAATTATCTCACATCCCCTCAGATTTATCTTGAGGGGATTTGTAGTATGAAAACTGCTTTACTTTGCCACTTGAAGTCTTACAAGAACTGAAAGTTCTTTATTATGTATTTTAATTAAGGGGAATGCTTTGCAAAGCAAACTACAATACACCAACTTTATATTATTATATATACATATCTTAACTTCTGCACTGTTCCATTAAATTTGCTTGATTTTCTTCATTACTTAGGCTATTTATTAATAGTATTTAATGAGCATTGTTGGGGCAGCCTACATCTAAGATTATCGTTGCCAACGACTGCTAAAGTAACACATTTATAGCTAGCTGGGGCATTATATCATATACTGTAAACACTCAAACTTTCCATCTAGATTCGTTAAAATATTATTATTATTAATTAAATACCAAAAGTTTATGCGTGGTTATTCTGCGGTTGCTGTAGAACACATTTTCAGAAACAGACTCTAGTTTCAATGATGCGAAGGCTTACCTGAGACAATTACCACCATTAACACCCCAAGGAAGGTCCTCATGTTGCACCCCGCGGGTGGATAACTATGGATCTCAAGTGAGGAATATGCGGTCAAATTGGTAGCCTATCACATTTTCTAGGCTATCATTATTCTACTCCGTGTCGTGGGATTGTTTTGATTACATTTGCTAGATCCGCCGAAAGTAAAATCCCAGCCCGTGAACATGAATCCACACACGCCCGTCTTCAGCGTGACTGAAACCAAGTGAAAGTTCAGCGGCGGAGTTTCCGGAGTACACTCGTCAATAAATATAAGGAAATTAATGGCAGGCAGGGCGCGTATTGTGAAATCCGCCTCCCACTCAGGAAAAAAAGACAACAACTTGCAGTTAAAAGCCCCTACGATGAATAGTATGCGTCAGGCAGACCATAACTCATTGGTATAATTCAATACTATTTTATTCAATGTTGCATTTTATTGGATAAGGTATATACAATATTATCAAATAAATGGGTAGAGGCTCTGGGTTCCATATGCGATTACCTTGGCATGACAGCACGCACGCACACAGACAGACAGACTCCCCCGCCCCAGCTCAATCCAAACACACATCCAGGGATCAGCACAGTCACCATCGGGAGCTAAACAGAGAGGGATCACCGGGAACCCTTCAGCCGCCGCTGCTGTCGACACACACACTACCACCTGCGTTGACACTTTTATATTTCTAACGGAAGAACCGTGAACATAAAGGGGGTGCTGGATACCGGGAGGACGGCATGGGAGAGCTCACGGCGTTTCTGCTGTTACTGGTGGCGACCTTGACGCTTTCGTCCGAGGTGAGTAACGTACCAGCGGAGGAATCATAGCCGTGGGAGTCGGTGAGCCGTCTGCGGGCCTGGAGCCACAGCAGCCATCAAACCGACCGTCGTGTCTAATCTGATTAAAGACGTTATAAAATACGGTTAAAGCCGTCCACTTATGACACGAAGACTGCGCAGCGTTAACGGTTATTATCTGCCGTGCTGCTACCAAAGATAACGTGATTACTGGGCTTTGCTGAGGCCCACTCTTTGTTTGATCCAGTAACGTTTAGTTGGTTTTCCCTTGACAGCTGTGAACATATTGTTCTACGTGTCCACCAACATTAAAGGGTTGTCGCACAGATTCACTGCGTAGAATCAGCAAACCTAATATGATCAGCGATGCTCCCAAGGCCCACCGTTAGATGTCAGTGATTGACAGCTTGGCCCTGCCGTGTTGGACATGTTTTGATTAGATAAGAGGATAATTTGTTTTATGTTTATTATAATACGACTTGTTGCAGGGTTATAATTAGCTGTTATCTATTTATTGCTAACGTTAGCTAGATAGCTACGTTAATTCACCTAGCTAATCCAGTGGCTAGGGTGTAGACAGCTAACTAGTGCTAATGTTAGCTTCTTCCAGAATAAGACACACAACGTCGTATGCAGTGAGTTTGCCTTCTTATATACAGTCTATGGTTGGTCTTCTTTAACATCTTAACGGTTTAAAATAGGCACGTCCATACACCAGCTATACCAGACAGCACGTTAAGCACAGCTGGTTATAAGTTAAACCCCCTGATACAAATAGAGGTTTTTAGCTATGCTAATTAGCAGTGCTACTGCGTCGACCTGGACTAGTCCAGCAGCGTTGCAGCTGTAGGGTGGTGATATTCCTGAGAAGAAAGGAAAAAGGATGCAGCCTTTTTTTTTTTGTTAGTTTGACACAAGCAAGATGGCGCCTGCAGCTCGCTGCTGCTTCTGGTGCTGTGCAGGACGAGGGAGACACAGAGCTTAGGATCACCTGGATATAGGATGAACACAATGCTACAATGCTTAATGCAAATCAGTAGATGCATACAGTGGGTTTTTCATCACCATACTACATTTAGGAGAGCAATCAAGTTAGGGAGACAGTAGTCTTGGTTTCCCACCCAAAACTAACCCCTGTGTGCTGCAGAGAAAATGTCTCTGTGCAGAATTATCCAGGACACACTTTTTTTTTGACGAAGGCCGCATTCAAGACCTTTCATCAATTAATATCACCACATTGTCATACCTGTGATCGTCCTGAGATACTATAGTTGCTCTGTCGCTGGTCTGGATAAGGTGCATGAAAGAAATCATGTTCTGTTGTATTTTTCTTTGCTATTTTGTTACAATACTGGTCATAGTTTATATCTTTGCTGTACTATTTTTCTGTTATTTTAAGATAGGTTTTTTTTTCACAGGGTGATATATGTCTGGTGAGATTAGCTTTATAGCCTATCCATTTAATGTATGTCTTTCATGTTTTTTAAGCTGCAGGCTGAGTCACAATTGAAAGTGTCACACAGGCCCTGCAGCACAATACCGAGATATGATAAAATGTGGCATGGCCTGCTGCAACACCTCTACAGTCACAGTGTATTTGAGCTCCGTGTAACACCAGGTTTGACTGGTTGTCTCAGTGTAATAGGATACTAACATGCATAGGAGCATTTTACTGGTAGCTTAGCACATGGCTTGATATATCTGTCTTGTGTTTTCAACAAACAGGATTTGATTGGCATTAGCCATATAATTAACCATATAAGCCATGATAAGTGGGGTGAACAATTGCCCATTGACTGATGTACTCAGACTTGTGCGATTTGAAGCGCAGGTTAACACCATTTTATTTTATAATGAAGCCTGTAACACACTTTCTGTGTTCAAGTATCCACTGATATATGCACCAACTGCTTATTGCTCCAGTTTGTATTTTCCTATTTTAAGTTTTTTGATTCCGACATTATGAGCAGGACTGCAGTGATGCATGATGCAAGGCGCTCAATTAAACAAAGGAAATTGCGCACCTCGATAAATGATGAATGACGTTACGCAATCTGCTGATGAGGTGATAATACTAACTCACAGCAATGCAGATCTTCACAAGCAAACATAGCATGAAGCCAGAATTAGTCATTTAAAGATTGTTAGCAGATGTCTTGGTGGCTAGAGTAATGTCAGCTTGCAGCATCAGTCTATTGGATTTCTGCCAGAAAAAATTCAAGGCCCAGAATTGGAAACATCCTCCAATTGTTTACGCTAGCAAAAACAAGTGGAAAACAATAAATGGAGACCAGCTGTGTCCCATTGGAAAAATAGGAGACCAAAGTCGGTTCAGTTGAAAGAAGAGGTTGTTTTTCCACTCATATTTTGATTTTGATAGCTGGTGAGCTTCAGTAAGTTTCTCTATATTAAAGAACGCTCATTGAACGTTCTTTAATAGAAGCAATGATTAAAACCCCATAAGACTGGCTAACAAAGGGCACACGTGCTACCCTGTGGCTGTAATGCTGAGCTCACTGGCTTATGAGCTCAATGGGATAAAACGGAGTGTCTTTCCTTGCTTGGGCTTAAACCAGTAGCACATTCCTTTATTTATTTATTTATTTATATAACAACTTAAATGTGCTACAATATTATCAAGTACTTTCAAGAGGCCTTTGTACTTAATGATCCCAGTATTGCATAGAGAGACAGATGTATGAGCTGGATTGTATGTGAAAGGCAGTAGAACAACATAAGAGGAGCTAAGTATACATATACGCTGTAGGAGATGTTCAAGTGTAAGTTATACTTTAGCCAGTCTGGTACCATCAATCTTCATTTTTTTCCCTCTTGTCCAGGTGCCTGCTGATGACTCTGTGGGTTTGCTAACTGAGCCCCAGGTGGCCATGTTCTGCGGGAAGCTCAACATGCACATCAATGTGCAGAGTGGCAAATGGGAGTCTGACCTCTCGGGCACGAAGAGCTGCATCGGCACCAAGGAGGGCATCCTGCAGTACTGCCAAGAGGTATTTAAACTGAGTGAGAGTGTGAGAGAGTGAGAGTTAATGTATGTAGCAAGAACATCAAAATCTCTCCCTTCTCTCCAGGTGTACCCAGAGTTGCAGATTACAAATGTTGTGGAGGCCAACCAGCCCGTCAGCATCCAGAACTGGTGCAAGAAAGGCCGCAAGCAGTGCCGCAGTCACACACACATTGTGGTGCCATACCGCTGCCTGGGTAATCGGTTTTTACTGATACAGTTCTATGTTAACAAGCATGTTTTTGTGTGTGGTTGAGAATGGATATACAAACTACCTGTACTGAGCAAATGAATGTTCATGTTGCAGTTGGGGAGTTTGTGAGCGATGCCTTGCTCGTGCCTGACAAGTGCAAGTTCCTGCACAAGGAGCGAATGGACCAGTGTGAGAGCCATCTGCACTGGCACACTGTCGCCAAAGAGGTGAGACAATCGCAGCATTCAATGCTACTGCATGAACTTCTTATTGTTATCTCGCCTCAATCATTACGTCTGCTAGTGACTTTTTCTTCTGACTTATTCCTTTTCTATCTGGTTTTCTATTATGATAATGATCTGTGCATCAGAGCTGAATTATGAGTGTGGGGCTCCTTATCTCCAGTCACCAAGGTTTACCATGTCATGATTATTGCTTGTTTATTAAATTTAGTCCTGTGGAGACCGCTCCATGAACCTCCATGATTACGGGATGCTGTTGCCATGTGGTATCGACCGTTTCCGAGGGGTGGAGTTTGTCTGCTGCCCGGCGGAGGCGGAGCGAGAGGCGGACAGCGCGGAGCTGGAAGGGGAGGAGTCAGACGTCTGGTGGGGCGGAGCTGAGGCCGAATACTCTGATAACAGGTACCATCACTCGCACACATTCATCCAGCCTGAAGGACACATCGCTGAATGATGTTAAATATGTAATATATATGTAACATTGCTCTCCCGGCAGCATGTCACACCCGACCGACACAGAGGCAGCCATCGCTGAGGACGAAGAAGAGGACGACGACGACGACACGGAGACTTTTGAAAGGGATGAGAACGGAGATGGCGACAATGATGAAGATGATGAGGATGAGGAGGAAGACGACGACGTGACCGATGAACGGGATAGCGATGAGCGCAATGCTAACATCGCAATGACCACCACCACCACCACCACCACCGAATCAGTTGAGGAAGTCGTTCGAGGTGAGAAATCGAGCTCATACGCACCCTTTGTTTACATGTGTTCATCCATTTGTTGTTTTTCATCATGTGGTTTGTTGATTTACGTAACAAGCTCCCATTTTGCATTCATTTTTATTTGATCTTTAATTTGCGTTTGCCTGTGTGTACATATCTCAGCCGTTTGTTGGGCTCGTGCTGAGTCGGGCCCCTGTCACGCCATGCTGGAGCGTTGGTACTTCCTGCCTAAGAAGGGCCGCTGTGTTCCCTTCTTGTTTGGGGGCTGTGGGGGCAACAGGAATAACTTTGACTCGGAGGAGTACTGCCTAGCTGTCTGCAGCAGCTCGTGTAAGTCCCAGGACCAGAGTCGCCTGAACCACGATGTGGCCACGAGCCTGATTCCTGTCCTCAGGCTGCTGCAGATTGTCTCTCCGTCTCACTCACTGTCTCTCCCTTTCCTGAGTCCTGACTCTTAACCACTCGGAGTACTGACAGGTGGATTTGTTTGCTCGTCTTGTGTTGAGTATTCTAGGATTATTGTCTCAGCAAGATAAAAACATACCTTTTGATAGTCATTTGCTTAAATGATAAGGCTGAGGATTTTCTATATTTCTGTAAACAAATCCAATGAAAAGACTAAAACCAACAAAGCATCACTCTGCCCTTTTTGTGACTTTCAGCATAAAATCCATTCCTTCCTCGAGAAAAAAAATAGATCTTTAAACATCTGTCACAGATATATAGTGTATTGTTATAAAGTGTGGTGATGGCCTTAAACATCTGGGTACTGTAGTTTCAGCTAATATTCAAACAGGAGTAAATATAGAATCTGTTGGGGACCATTTTCAGCCACAGACTAGTTCATATTCTGGTCTGTAGTCAGTATTTGTTACTTCTGATACTTCTTACAGCATGTGGACGATGCAACGTAAAAAATACCGAACGTTGAATGTTGGCATGCGTCTGCATGCATTTCTGCACACGTGTGTTTGCATGCCTTGCAGCGGGACGGTCTGCTGCTGCTGCGGCTCCGTAGTAGTCTGACCGGGCAGCTGTGGGTCTCTAAGGATGTCATAAATATGTCTTGACCAGCTGATTGTTGCAGTGTGTTAACCGTGACGGTGAGTGTGTGAATCGGGGAGGGTGTTGTTAAAGGTTAATGGGTTGATTTGCTGTTTCCACCCATACTCCTCAGTGGTGCAATGCCTGCCCTGATCCTGACTCAGCACTTTTAATCTTATCTCCAGGCTCCCACATTACATATAGACATACGCACTTGTACTTTGAAACTAATCATCCTTTGTCCCCTGATAACCGGTGTGTCTTTTAATACAATCTGTATGTAGCTAACACATAGTGTATGTTGTTTAACACACTTGAACTTCATGTGTCTGAAATACTGAAACCCCGTATGATGTCATTGTGGGTTTCGGACACACTGGAATCAGTGTTTTTTTTCTATTTACTCGTTTTCTTTTTTATCCTCTGGGTGTTTTCTCCCCTGCACTGTGTTTGATTCCGGACTCTTTGTCCTCCACCAGTGCCCACCATAGCCCCCAGTCCTCCAGACGCCGTGGATCGGTACCTCGAATCTCCCGGGGACGACAGCGAACACTCTGACTTCCAGAAGGCCAAGGAAAGCCTAGAGGCCAAACACCGTGAAAAGATGTCCCAGGTATGCTTGTGCGTCCTGAACATTTCTCTCTGGGATATCGCCCTGTCAAGGTGTCCAAATGTCTGTCAGTCTGTAATGCGTTTGTCCCTGGTGTGACCCGCTTCATGTCCAGGTGATGAGGGAGTGGGAGGAGGCTGAGAGGCAGGCCAAGAACCTTCCTCGTGCTGACAAGAAAGCTCTCATCCAGGTAGGAAACGCATCACAACTTCTTCTGTATTTCAGTATCATTTGTTAATGTCAAAGGTGATTGTTGTGAAAAAACATTAGTTCCCTTATCTAAGCCAAAATGAATGAAAAGTCACCTGTGTTTGATCAAAATGCAGTGGATAAGGATTTTATTTATTGATTTTCAAAACTCATGTGGCATGTCGTGCTTCAGATTTTTGGCCAAGTTATCGCTCTTCTAGCTGTAGATG